AAGCCAGAGTCATTGCTTCCTGCGATCCCCCCCCGGTGGTTAATGCCATTTCCTCAGGCTCTTTTTAGAGCAGAGGAAAGGCTGCACTGGGGTGATGAGTGGGATTCATTCAGGGGGTCACACGGTACACATTGGGGACACTGCTGAGATGGCTTAAAAATAGGCCTCCGTCCTTGGATGCCAAGCGAAAGCGACCCCAGGATTTTCAAAAGAACTTTCCCGGCCAAGGTCGCCAGCCCTCCACAGAAGAAACATTTCAGGATGTATTTCCCCAGGCCCCCAAGTAGACGTTTCTGATTCAGGAATAAGCCTTTTCTTGTCATAGAAACTAAATAAGAGGGCTTAAAAAGGGGGACCAAGTGTTTAGTGAACACCTACTATGTGCCACGTACCAAGTGTCTGATGAGTTTGCCTCGTTCGTCCTCAGAGCAATCTTGTAGCATACAGATGACTCTTACCAGTTTTCTAGGTCTGGTTGGGGGACCCAGAGAAATTAAGCATGTACCACAAGATCACACAGCTAAGATGTGACAAAACCAGAATTTAAACTTGGGTCTGTCTGACTCCAAGCCTGTGCTCTTTCTCACCACCTCTCAAACTGAGATTTAGAAAATAAAAATCACTAGAGAGGTGGAAGTGAGGGGCTCACAGGGGGTTGGACCTGGTGTTTCCCGTGGGGAAGGTAATGAATGTTTAGTGAGCATCTACTATGTGCCAGGACTTCCACTGGGATCTTCCTGTGCTCTCACTGCCCCTCCTAGCAGCCTGAGATGGGGTTTGGGATTGTGTATCATTTAGGGATGAAAATCTGCAGTCTTAGGAGGTTACATGACTGGCCCAAAGCCCCTCAGACAAATTAGCAGCAAAGCATAGGCTCGAACCCAGAGCCCAAGGAGAGCATTCTAAAGCACTGATGCAAGTAAATCACACAGCTGCCCCGAGAGCAGCTCTTATGTCTACCTGTCTTCCTAAAGGACTTGCCCAAGGCTGGGCAGTGGCAGCATTTATTTAGCCAGAACAGAGTCCTTCTTCCCTAACCATCCATAGCCACTCATCACCCACCCCCCAAAATCTCTTCCCATAAAATTAGAGTTGGGTCATTTCTTCCCTGACTGGAAAGACCCTCCCCTCTGGTCTTGGTGGGGCTGGAGCAGCCTTTGGTTAAGCAGGAAGTGGGGTCTGTACTGCCCCCCTCCTCCCACGCACAGGATGGACCACTGCAGAGGCCTTCACGGTTCCTACCTCACGGAAAGAAACCCCTCCACACCCTGCCCAATTCCTGACCAGAAGAGGAGGGGGGCTCACTGGCTGGAGGGGCAGCACTCCCACAAAGCCAGTGGGTCCTCAGCCTTGCCTGGAAGAAAAGGGGTATGGAGTCTGTCTGGTCCCTGGCATCGTGTGGTGGCCTCTTTCTGGCAGGAGGTTTTCTCACCAGTGATGAGGTGTCAGTTGAATCTGGTCCCAATGTGCCAGCAGCTGGGAACATCTGTGCCATAGATTGAGCCATTTGGGGGAGATAAGCTCAGGTGATCTCCCAGAGGGGAGCGGTGGGAGATATTTTGGCCCTTGATGAAATAGTCTGCAGCCATGAAACCTAAGGACGGCGAATGCTTGGGAGCCATGTGGGCAAAAGCTTTTCATGTAGTGTTCAATTAGAAAAAGGGCAGGAAGCAAAATTAGATGCGTGCTCTGATTGCAGTCAAGTTAGACGAGTACTTAATACTCTCTAGTTAGTACTCCCGTACGACTCAGGAAGTTAGGGCAGGAGGAGAGAGCAATGGGGTCAGAAATTGCTGGGTTCACATCTCAGCGCTGCTCCTTGCAGCTGTGGGAAGTGTCTCTGCTGCCTGGAGGCTTGTTTTTCTCCTGGAAAATGGAGACAGTAATCCTGTAGGTGAAGCTTTGTTTTGAGATTAGCTACAATCACATATGGAGAACGTCCAGCATAAACCACGGCCAGGGTTCTTATGTGGATAAGAGCTGGGCAGGCACCATGAAAATGCAGTGCAAGTTAGGCTGTGAAAGTGAGGGGAGTTTTCCTTATTTCCAAACTTTCTATAATGTGGCTGCCGGGTTTATCACAGTAAGTTAACCACTAAAGTTCAGGTTTTCCGCTGATATCTCCAAATGAGGACGTTCTGCGGGGCACCTGGGGGTCTGTGTTCACATGTTGCTGTTTTTCTAGAAGCTACTTGCCCTGAGCCAAGGTAACAGCAGATGTTGGTGTACAATTCGGAGGTTGCTTGTTGCTGTTTTATTTTAAGCATTTTCAATTTGTGTAAATAACACATCCTCTTAGAAACTTTTTCACTCTGGTTCTTTTTTAACTCACATCAGGGCTCTGGCCTCAGAGGGGGGGAAATAGTGTTTATCCTCACTCCCTGAAGGAAGTTGGATCATATAATCAAGATTAAACAAATATGTAAACTTCGCTGGTTACTTGGCTGCATTTTATCCTAACATATAGTTGGTTTTGCACAAAACTTTCCCTTATAGTAACAAAGCAGGATTTCTCCCAATCCCGGCGCTCATTTAAATCGCGAGGCTGCTCTGAAAGAGCATCTGCTGAGGATTTCCAAGTCGTTTAGTATAGAAACTCGCCGATTGAGAGATAAGGTTGGCAAAACAACGGTGATGGCAGGGGGAGATCAAAATAATCAAATAAGAGTGGCTTGTGGTCTTTGGTGCTCAGCAGGGCTTTGATCTGTGGTCATATTTAATGTTTCCTGGAGCGTTTGCCAGCTGTGGGGACCTTGGAGGGAATCCGGTCTGTTGCACACGGGTAAAGGCCACAGCCCAGAAGCTGGTGGCTTGGGCAAGGCCGTGGCGTGCGTGCAAGGAGAACGCGGACTCTGAAGTCCCTAAGCCGTCTCTCCTGATGGTTCATGCCCTGTGGTATTTCCCCCGCTTGTTTGATTATTGTCCTGATGAAATAGCTCTCCAGTGGGCCCTTGCTCTTCCCCTCGTGGTTCCGGAGATGGCTGCAGCCTGGCTCTGTGTCTCCCCCTCCTTGCTGCCTCGGGCCCCTCCCTGGCAGGCAGTGCTGGCCTGCTCTCCTGGAAGCCCTTCGTGGCTCCCTCTCTCCTATGCTGTGTGGTCTGAGCCTCTCTGGCTGGCATTCAGAGCCTTCCTGTCTGGTCCTTGTGATGTTGATGGCAACCTCACCCCTCACCCCTGTGAGGCAGTTGACTGCCCAGCCTCCGACACCCTCTGCCACACCTACCATAGTATTATACTTACCCTGGCTACAAAGTCCAGCTTACCCCTCTCTGCCCCTAGTGTTCCCTCAGCCTGGAATGTTCCATCTCCTCCCTCAAGACCTGGCTCTGTGGGTGTCACCTTCTGTCCCCAGCCCTGTTGAGTCCGAGGCCTCCTCCAGGCCCTATAGTTGCTCATGCCTAAGGTGGTCTGGAATGTCAGCACCATCACAGTGGGCACACTATGTGTCTTGGTGACTGCTGTATTTCCAGTGCCTGGCATGGTTCCTGGTACATACTAGGTGCTTACTAAACGTTTGACAATAGATGAATGACTCAAGTCCTTTAAGTTCCTTTTCTCATGTGGGACCTTGGCTTCTTCCTTATATTTTGTCTTCTGTGGGTCAGTGGCTTCCGTTTGTAGAGGCTTCGCACCTTCTCAGCGTGGCTTCCTCCCTCGGTGACTGGGACCTTCCCCTCTGGTCTGGGGAGAGCAAGCCATGGTGTGCCTGCCTCGTCATTGCCTCTCCCTCTTTATTTTCTCTTGTCGGCGCTGCCATTAGCCTCAGTGTTAATTGAGCCCCCCGATGTGCCCAGAGCACAGTGAACCCCATGGCTGGGTATGGGGGGAGTGGTCCCTGGAGTGGCCTGTTACTCCCTAGGGTCTCCATTCTTCTCCCATGACTACAGACCACTGTATGCCAAGGGTTGCCTGCAATTAATGAGCACTTGCTATGAAAACTGTACTTGGCTGGACAGACTCTCCAGTAATTACCCACCCTGCCACCTCCCTGGTGGCCAGAGCCCCCCAGAAACTGCCCCTGGGATGAAGGAGGGAAGGTGGGAAGGATGAAGCCGTCACTCCAATACTAGGCTGCCTGGATTCATGGCCAGCACCGAGATCCTTTGAAAACAGACTGTCACAAGATTCTCCAGGTCCTTCTGGGCAAAATTCCCTTAGAAATGAATCCTGAAAGGTGTATGTTCTAGAAAAGTCACCTTGCTTATAAAGAGTGCCTTCATTTTCTGTGGGTACAGGGGAGGGAAAGTCACAGAATTCTAGCTTGGGTCTCTGTGGAGCCTCAGTATTATGATCATATTATTAGTTGCCTATTAAGCACATCCTTGTGCCAGGCAGTATTCTAGAAACTTCATTCATATGATCTTTTAGCAGATGTGTGAGTTAAGTAATGTCCCCGTTTCCCAGGCAAGGAAACGGGCTAGAAGAGTGACAGGGTCTCCTGCATATCACACAGCCAGGAAGGGCGGGAGAGCTGGACTTTCAGGCTGCATCCTTGCTATTGTCAGAGGATCCCGAAACTGCATTCTTTCTATGGCCTTCCCTGCCTTGCTTTTGAACAAAAATTGCACAGAGAAAAGCAGCCAAAGACACCCACTCCTCCCCACAAATCCAAGGCCCCTGTTGCCTTTGGATGGACTCTGCTGCCCAAAGTGACCCTTGGAGGAAGGTTTGGAAGGATTTGATAGGGATGGAGAAGTCAGTTGGACCTAGCCTGGCTGTTGTAACAAGCGCATTGCTATTGGTATGTCTGGGAGTGAAACAGCTCTCAACAGTGCTTCACCAGACACACACACACACAGCCTCTGTTTGCTCATCTGTGAAGTGGGTATAGTACTCCATGATAGCAGCATTGGGCTAATTTGAGTGGCTGGAACCTTCTCAAGTTTATCAATTATGGGACTAATTAAAATGGAATTTTAAATGGAAATGATTATTAAAAGACGAATCGAGACTGCAGAATTCCTAAGGGCCCTAATCCTCCCGCTTGTTTCTTCCTGCAGACTCGAGCCCGCAGGCGCGCCTCCTGGCCACCCGGCCGTGCTGCGGGCCCGGACCTGAGCGGCGCACGATCCTGGGAGAAGCGCCGCGCTTCCACGCTCAGGCCAAGGGCAAGAACGTACGGCTGGACGGCCACTCGCGACGGGCCACGCGGCGCAACAGCTTCTGCAACGGGGTCACGTTCACGCAGAGGCCCATCCGGCTGTACGAGCAGGTGCGACTGCGCTTGGTGGCGGTGCGTCCAGGCTGGAGCGGTGCGCTGCGCTTTGGCTTCACGGCGCATGACCCGTCGCTCATGAGCGCCCAGGACATCCCCAAGTATGCTTGCCCTGACCTGGTCACGCGGCCCGGCTACTGGGCCAAGGCGCTGCCTGAGAACCTGGCGCTGCGCGACACCGTGCTGGCCTACTGGGCTGACCGCCATGGCCGCGTCTTCTACAGTGTCAACGACGGTGAGCCCGTGCTCTTCCACTGCGGCGTGGCCGTGGGCGGCCCACTCTGGGCGCTCATCGATGTCTACGGCATCACCGATGAGGTGCAGCTCCTCGGTAGGTCGCGGATCCCTCTGCAAAGGGGCGGGGCGTCACCCTGAGGACCAGGCAGTGGTTCTGTGTGTGCATGGATGTGCATTTCTTTCATACAAATGCGGAGTGCTCACTTTGCTGGGTGTTGTTCTAAGCATTTGACACATTTTAACTCATCTATTTCTCACGACAACTCGCCACCCCATTTCATAGATGAGAAAACTGAGGCACGAATTGGTTAGCTGACTTGCATTGCAAAGCCTGATCGGGACCCACACGAGTTGGGTCCAGAGTCCATGGTCTGGCCCAGATTCATTCATTTACTCCTTCACTCACTTACTTGCTCATTCACTCATTCTTCCATCCATTCCTTTGCTCATTCCTTCACTCCCTTGTCCATTTGCTCATTCACTCATTCATTTATGTATTAATTCATTTGCTCACTTACTCATTCACTCACTCCCACATCCACTCCCTCACTCTGCAATCTAATTTATGACCTAATCCTCCAGTACCTACACTGTCAGGCACTGAGTATCCAGATGTAGCAGATCCAGGCCCACTGTTAAGGGGCTCAAGGTCCACCGGGGAGGCAGGCAGACAAGTGTGGCCCTGGAGCTAACAGAGACAGCAGCCACTAAGGCTGAAATCTTGGTGGTGAAACTCATGGGGATAGAAGTTTGCTGCCCTTATCTTGAGGCTTTTTCTTTTTACTTTTTCTTTATTGAGGTAAAATTCTCACAAAAGTAACCATTTTAAAGTATGCAATTCAGTGGCATTCGGTTGACAACCACCTCTATCTAGTTCCAAAATATTTGTCACCCCATAGGGAAACCCAGACCCATTAAGCTGTGATCCCTCCCGCCATTCTCTGTACCCCCCCAGCCCCTGGCAACCACTGACCTGCTTTGTGACCTTGGCTCTTGAACTCACAGGTTGCACTGGAGCCAACCCAGCCTTGATTTGGGGGTTGTGACAGGGGAGCAGGGTTCTCAGGGATCTGGATACAGCTCTACATGTCATTTACCTGCCATGAATGCACTGACCTCAGGTTTGAGTTTTGGCAGATTTATACACCTGTCCAGAACCCAAGAATGCTCCCACTTCTGAGTCAGCCCCCTTCTCCCCACCAGATAGCCACTGTTCTTTCACTGTGGAAAATCCCATCTCTTCCCTCAGGTTATGGGGAAGCATCCTCTAAGGCGAGACATACACAGTCAGGTGCCTATGGGGTCCCAGCAAATGGCTGAAATGGGTGAAGGGGCCAGCTCAGGGCCATGGGGAGGGAGAGCAAATATCTTCAACAAAAGGGCAAGCGTTAGCTGGTTGTTGCCAAAATTCAGGCCCAGTGTTACAGACCTCCTGATTTTCCAAAAGAAGCTATAAATCCAGTTGAAGTGAAATCTCCTGATTCATAAGTATTGCCTACTAACGCAAAAAAAATTTTTAAAGACCAAGTGGTGGTTTATTCAACAAACAAATGGAAGGGGGTGGGGGGAGAAATGAAGAGGCAACCTACAGCTTAAAAGAGACCAATGACGAGTGAATTTTTATTTGGATCTTCATTCAAACAAACGGAGAAAAGCCTATTCTCACATACATGATACATCCTTAATTTTTAGACATACTGAAATTTTTTTCAGATGAAGTGGCATATCTAGGATTTGCTTCAAAATATAGGAGGGAGAGTTGGTGGAGGTGTCAATGAAACGACTGGCCATGCATTGATAATTGTCAAATCTGGGTAATCTGCATTCATTATTTGCATAGGTTTACTTTTCAAACTAAGAGTTAACGAAAGAAAAAACAGCAGACCAACCAAACAGGTCTGTGAGCCAGGATCAGAACCTGGATGGCCAGTTTGCAAAATCTGCCCTGCATGGAGGGGGTGGGGGTGCGGAGTAATATATCAGACTGTCACCAGGCGATAGGGCAGGCTTTTTGAAAAGGCATGTTCATTATTATGGCTTAATTTTATATCTGGAACACTGAAGAGGAAGAAATATTTTATCCCATGATATAAATTACAGAATAGTAACACGTAACAAAATCTTAGCTAGAGGGATCTGGTTTTAAAAGTTTGAGAAACTCTTTTTCTTGCTTTGTTTCCTTATTTTGGTTAACAAGGACATTTTTATCACTTAAAAAAAAAAAACCTTTCAAAATACTTGAGCGATTTTCTTTCCCTGAATTTGAGTGGCAGTCAGTCTCTGCTAGAGACCTCATTCACTCATTCTTCGTCCAATAAACTACATACTAACGAGGGCTATTTGCCCGGCACTCTCTGCTAAACCCCGAGAACATGGGGGCGAACATACTGGCACAGACCCTGCCCTCCAGGGACTCACATTCTGGCTGGGGAGACGATTAGCTAGGAATCGACCAATATATGAAGACCTGTATGATAAACACTAGTTGTTTTGCTTTTTTACTTAAAATGTAGTACCAAGAACGTTTTTTCATGTCACTAAACATTGAGAAACGTTTTCACCCACTGTGACTTTTTTAAAGACTCCGTTAGTTTCCTGTTTTTAGAGTGAGGCCGTCTCTTGTAGAAATCGCGTACCCTCAGCGTCTGAGGACCACCCAGGCCCTGTGCTCCCTGCGGCCTTCTTCTTTCAGCGTCAGCACGTGAAGGGCCGGGGCTCTGGAGCCGGACCGCTAGCTTCTCGTGCTGGCTGTGCCCCTGAGTCGCCTTGTGGCCTTGGTCACCTTCTCCTCTGTGCCTCAACACCCTTATTGGCCCAATGGCAGGCAGGCACAGTGCACACCTCACAGGCTGTGTGAGGTCTAAAGGAGGTAACTCGTGAAAGGAGCTTAAAATAGTCCTTTCACACAAGGCCACAAACAAAGAGCAGAAGTGTTTGCTCTTTTTCTTGGAGCTTGTGTTCTAGCTAGGGGGGGCAGACAACAAAGGTTTTCAAATGCCCTTTACATTTTCAGAAGTATTAACACCACTGAGGGAAGGGAGGACAGAGAGAAAAGGAGGCGGGGTGGAGCGGAAACGGGGAGAGAACAGGCGGGAGGAAGGCAGGAGGAAAAATGGGAGAAAGGGCCTGATCTGCCCATCCCGAAGATAGGCGTGTTTAGGAAACTACGGATTATGCTTAATCCACTTATGTGCACCTGCGGTTCTTAACGATCTTCACGAAAGAACCAGAAAAGGAACGAAGGGGCTGGGCTGGGGGTGGCGGCTGCGAGCAGCGCGGGTGGGTGCGGCGCGGGGGCGAAGCCCGCGGGGGAGGCCGGGGGCTCCGGGGCCAGGCCCGCGCCCTCACCCGCCCTTCCTCTGTCCTGGCACAGAGAGCGCGTTCGCCGACACGCTGCCGCCCGCGCGGCTCAGCCAGGCCCGCTTCAGCGCCTGCCCGCCGCCCAGCAGCCTCGACGCGGCCAACTTCGACAACAACGAGCTGGAGAACAACCAGGTGGTGGCCAAGCTGGGCCACCTGGCGCTGGGCCGCGCCCTCGGTCCGCCGCCCGCCGACGCCGCGGCCTCCGCCATCCCGTGCGGGCCTCGCGACCGCCCGCGGCCTGCGTCGTCGCCGGCGCTGCTCGAGGCCGACCTGCGCTTCCACGCGACGCGCGGGCCCGACGTGAGCCTTTCCACCGACCGCAAGGTGGCCTGCGCGCCGCGGCCCGACGGCGGCCGCACGCTGGTCTTCTCCGAGCGCCCACTACGGCCTGGCGAGAGCCTCTTCGTGGAGGTGGGCCGCCCGGGGCTGGCGGCGCCCGGCGCGCTGGCCTTCGGCATCACGTCGTGCGACCCGGGCGGGCTCCGGCCGGCCGAGCTGCCCGCCGACCCCGACGCACTGCTCGACCGCAAGGAGTACTGGGTGGTGGCGCGCGCCGGGCCCGTGCCGAGCGGCGGGGACGCGCTCAGCTTCACGCTGCGGCCCGGCGGCGACGTGCTCCTGGGCGTCAACGGGCGCTCGCGCGGCCGCCTGCTGTGCGTCGACACCACGCAGGCGCTCTGGGCCTTCTTCGCCGTGCGCGGCGGCGCCGCCGGCCAGCTGCGCCTTCTTGGTGAGTTCCCAGACCGCGCGTGCGCGGGGCCCGCCCCGGGAGCCTGAGGGTGCCGCTGGGCAGCTGGAGCCAGCGCGGAAGCCCAGCCAGTGCTTTCCAAACTTGATCGCGCATCAGCACCACCCGCCTCCACCTGGACTTGCCTATTCAGTAGGGGTGACCCCTGAGGTGGTGCCTTTTCAATGTGTGCCCCGGGGATGCCCATGTAGCAGCTCCCTGGACCACACTTGGTCCACATCGACCTAAGTACCCCAGGGGTGTCAGGGCCTGGCAGGCTTTAGGCAGTCGGTAAACGGTGGGTGCAATTTTTTCCCCGTTATTTATTATATATTGTTTTACATATGTGATACACATATTAAGTATAAGAAAAAGTAAATACAACTCTGCTTAAACGAGGTAATAATAACACCGTCCACAGAAAATGGAATGGAGGCTTGAACCATCTTATTTTGAGATGATTCTTGCCTTCATTCATGCCACAAATTATCATGGAGCACCCACCAGCTGTGAGCCAGGCCCAGGGCTCCAGGATGGGGCAGGGCGGAGGACAGGACACAGACGCCCCAAGTGGTGAGCTGCACTGGGTGAAGTTGAACACGGCACAGGGGCTTTTCTCCCGCTTGGTGGAGTGGGCGTGGTGGTCAGGGAAGGTTGCCAGACAGCACAGCTCCGTGTGCGTGGTTCAGGAAGTAAAAGTCCAAGTGATAACAGAGATGATGAACATTTCATGTCACCTCATTCAGTTTTGTCCTGGTCATCATAGGAAACCTGTTATCATTATCCCATCTACAGGTAATGAAGCACAGAGAGATTAAATGGCTGTCCCAGTCACATAGCTGATCAGCCATGAAGACGTTGGGCAAATCACAGAGCCTCTCTGAGCCTCAGTTTCCTTCTGGGTAGAAAGGGAGTCATCACCCACCTCAGAAATTACCTGAGGATGAAATGATGAGGTGCATACAATGCTTTCAGCAGGTGCCTGCCACCTATAGCGTGTTTAATAAGTCATGTTGGTTAACAACAGCAACTGTTGTCTGATCTACGTGTTGAAAGAATATCATCAGGATCCCATCTCTATCTCAAAGTTCACTTTCCTCTGTGTTGGCTTCACTCTCAGGCAGGCCCCACAGTGTTGGGCTTACCTCCCAATGGAATGAGCCCCTTCTCTCCCAACAGTTTGAGTGAAAGCTCTAGTGAAGGCCTCGCTGGCCTTTGTCGGGTCGCATGGTGGCCTTCCCTGAATCTCCATTGAGACCCAAAGGTGGAAGTTATTGGCCTGGCCTGGATGGTGAAGTAGTACTCCAAAACAAAATCACAGTGCTGTTTCTGAAATAAATGGGCATGGAGGCTGGGCAGGCAAAGAGCAGCTGTCCACCACACATGTACGATTCCATCCGTCCTTAGCAGAGCCCTGCGAGGTAGCTCCTATCCCCCCAGTAGACAGATAGGGAGGCTAACATGCAAAGCAGTGGATAGCCAGGGACTAGCAGAGCAGCGTTCACCTCCCACTGCCTCTGATGGAGTCTCTTTGGTCTCAGGTACCCTGCAGTCCAGCCCTGCGACCACATCTCCATCAGGGTCCCTCAGCGGCTCCCAGGATGATAGTGATTCTGATATGGCCTTCAGTGTCAACCAGTCATCTTCAGCATCAGAGTCATCCCTGGGTAAGGAAATGCAAACCCTGGATGGGCAGGGACTGGCCACTGGCCTGGTTCTTTTGGCTGTGTCAGTGCCTTCTCAGGGCTACACAGAGTGGCCACCTTTCCCCGCTGTGTCCTCTCCATCCTCAGCTGTGCATTCAGTTGGAGGAAGGAAGAGGAAGGAGGGACATGTAGATATGGCATCCCACAGGGTGAAAAGGGTGCTTGATGCTTGGGGTAGGAGGGTAGGAAAAGAGACAAACCCAAAAGAAAATTCAAAACCGGTGTCTGCCAAAGTTGCATCTCCATGGTCCACCATAGAAGCTCTGTCTTGGGTTGCCCCTGCAGAGCTCACCTGAGAACCGCATTATTCAGGTCTATCCTGTTCTTCCTTTCTACAGTGACGGCCCCCAGCTCCCCACTGAGCCCCCCGGTGTCCCCCATGTTTTCCCCACCGGAGCCGGCAGGCAGCAAGAACGGTGAGTGCACGGTGTGCTTCGATGGCGAAGTGGACACGGTCATCTACACGTGTGGACATATGTGCCTGTGCCACAGCTGTGGCCTGCGGCTCAAGAGGCAGGCCCGGGCCTGCTGCCCCATCTGCCGGCGGCCCATCAAAGATGTCATTAAGATATATAGGCCATAGCCTGGCCCAGTGATGGGCCACGGCCGGATCAAGGTCACCTTTCTGAAACCAACCTGGGCTAGGCAACCAACATGGCCACCAGGGAGTCCAAGGGCGGCAGCAGCCATCTCATCTGCCACTCTCCAGTGGTGGGCAAGGCGTGACAGTCATGGAGACAAGGCCCCCGGGGGGCTTAGCCCGGCCACGGATTGCTTCTGGCTCAAAAGCCCTTGTCCCCAAAAGGCCATCCCAAGAGCAAGCTCAGGAACTGCCTGGCAGACCGCCCATCCTCGGTGACCCCTGGGCTGGGAAACAGCGTCCTCTGTGCAATGCTTTTTGCTGGGGGTGGGTTGAGTTGTTTGTGTTTATGTGTGTGAGAGAAGGGGGGGGCATGTGTGACAGAGAGAGAATGCATTGGTATTTATCCAGGGATCCTGGCTCTAGGAGGTTATTTAACACTAAGGAATGTGAGACCTGGAGCCCAGACATTAGCATGACTAGAAATTGTTCACTTTCTGGGGCTGTGACGTCAGCTGGTTTTGAATGTAGGAAGCCTGCGCCTAAATAGAACTCCCTGGGGTGGTATAGAAAAGACAGTCAGATTTTTTTAAGAGGAGAAAAAAATAGCTCATTGTTTACAGCTCCAAAGCAGCAACTCCTTGGGGTAGGTGGGAGGAGAACATAAAAGAACAATTTGCCTCTACGGTTTCTAACTCCGTCCTGGAGAGTTTTGATGGGTGCTGCAGCCAGCGGAGAGCTCTGGGCAGTGTCGTCCCAGAAGCCTTTTCACTCCTTCACGCCCAGACAGCCTAATAATAAGCACACTGCACTTGACTCCGCTCTTAGATGCTTTTAATCTGTACCTACTGCCCCACCATGTCCAAGGAGGAGACTAGCCACAGGTTCTCTTTTCCTGGGTGAGAGAAAGAAGCCCAGAGGGAGGTGACTCACCTGGAGCTGCAAAGGCCACTGCAAGACGCAGACAACTCTCCACATTTCCTGTTGTGACACTGGGCCTGCGGGCATCCCCAGGGCCACCTGTGGGCAAAGTAGGAGGAACCAGGGCTTTGCAACCCATCTTTGCTCTCATTTTAAGCTTATCTTCCCCTGCTGATTACCAAGATGTCAACTGATCATTAGGAGGTTAACTGGTAACAGAGGCATTAACTGAAAATGCCAACATTGGGAACCCCCCCCCGCTTCCCAGGGCTATTTGCTAGGCACTTCCTGGGACCCTGGGGCCCTGTCCCCACACCTCCCCCCCTGCCTGGGCCCATCTCTGCTGACTCGCAGACCCCGCCTGCTCCTCCTTTCTTGCCCCAGTTCTGGTACTCACATCTGCCCTGTCTTGTGCTGTGCTTTTAGGGAAGTCCCTGGGCCTCTCTGTTTCTCTATTCCCAGTCTGTCCAAGAGGAAGCCCAGCACCTGCCCTCTCCAGAGCTCTTGGGGGGATCCCTACAACATTCTAAAAGGCCTGAGACAGCATGCAAAGAGCAGGTGTCGTTTTTATTGAAGTTCCTAATCTGTTCGTCTGCTGAGGGAGGCAAGCAATGGAGAATATTCAGGGTTTATGGGTTCATATAACGAATGTTTGCTGGGTGTCTGGGGCCCAGAGGGGCCCTCATCAGATCAAGTCCCATGAGACCAGCCAGTCGTGTCCTTGTGATGCCCCAGATCTTAAACCACTTGCTGCTTCTCTGTCTGGAAGTGGCCAGTTTTCTGATGTCAACTTGAGAATCCCTACTCTTGCCCCTGCAAGAACCCCTAACTGTTTCTCTTTGCCCTAGTGAATTTGGGAAACACGCCTACATTTTAATTTTGCAGCTGCTGAATCTTTGTGGGAAGCTCCTGGAACCCCAGCATTTGCCAAGATAAGAGTTTGAGAATCTAGGCAAGCACTTGGTGCCCTGCTGAATTTCCCCCATGTGCTGGGTGTGGGCACAAGCCCTGTGTGAGAGGATTCGTCACCCTCCCCCCGCCCCCCAGGACTGTGGTTCTCCAGGCAACAGCCCCCCGACTGGCCTGAGCCAGTCACAACAAGCTCTGGGGGAGCCAGCTCCTCTCCTACCACTTGACCTTCCTGACTGCCCCCTTGGGTTCCAGCCTGGGTCATGTACAGACACCACCAGGAAACCAGTGACTAAGGGCCTGGACCAGGGGTGGACCAGGCCATGCTCCTGGCAACCTGTCACCTGGGACAGAAGGAGCTGGTGGCCTGTTTGACTTGCTCTGCAGCTGCTATAAATAGCCTCCCTGTGTCAGAGAGGAATTAAGGGGGGTGTTTATCTCCAAAAAACCAGACATTTCCTGATGCTGTAAACTGATTTATTCAGTGCTGCGTCGGAATCACTCACATGGCCCTCTATGCTCAGTCTCGAGTCGGGGGCAGGAGGAAGAGGAAAGGGAGCCACTCTTACACTGTGTGCCCCGGCGCTGGGCTGGGAGCTGCCTACACGCATCGCTCCTGTGAGGCAGGTCTTATTACCGTATGGAGTCACGTCTAAGACACCACCGATATTTTATGTACCATTAAGGAAAGAACACTGCCAATTTTAACTGTCAGATGCCACAACTATACAATTCATTCCAATCAGAGGTGTTGAAATGTGGAAAAAACTGTGTTACTTAGAATCGATGAAATATGGTATTATCCCCATTAGGCAGGCAAGAGAACTGACGTCCTAGGAGTGAAATGTCCTAGAGTCACAGAGCAGGAGGTGGCAGGGCTAGGATTCAAACCCAGGAGTGTGTGGTGTCCAGCTTCATGCTCTCCACTGCTTGGCCCGACTCCCACAAAGCTTGAGATTGCCTGAGTTTTCTTCCTTGAAACTCACCTGAGCTGCACTTAGAGCCTGGGCACCTGTGCTGTGTGGAGGGTCCCAGCCCCAGGCTGCGGCCCCTGTGCCACCCACACCCTGGAAGGACAAGTGTCCGTCCTTGCAGTCTCATCTGCCCAGCGCTCACCTCGTCCCCATGGAGCTGTGCTATGTGAGAGCTTGGGTCCAAACCGAGGGCCTCCTGTTCCCCGGGGCACCCGTGTGGGACCGCTTTGGGGAGGGGCCGAAGACCTTGTCCCACCACCTTCCTGGGCCTCGTGACCACCACCCCCTCAAGCAGGGCCTACAGGGCTGGGCCAGGGGACGCCAGGGGACGCCCCATATTGTGCCTGTTCATTTTGAATCACCAGAAAAACTGGACTGATTCCAAATCAAAACAAGCTCCTTTTCCTAGTCCATTCCCAGAATTGGGAAACTTCTGGGATTTAGCTTCCCTGGGGCAGCTGCTTGCCTAACTACAGCATCACTTTTTCAGCCATTCAACACCCACTGCTCAGCACGGCCTGTGGTCTGGACACAGGTTTGGGAACTGGGGCTAATGATGCAGCCCGCAGGGAGCTCGTGGTCCAGAGCGGGAGATGGACACATTTGTAAACTTTGATCCCTCTGGTGTCGGGTTCTGTGCTAGCACATAGTAGGTACTCTTTACATGTTTGCTTAACAAATCAGAAATCCATTCAGAAGTGTTCAGAGGTTTGATAAAACACATGCACATAGTCATTCAGCAAACATCTGCTGAGTGCCTACTAGGTGTGGGATGCTGGGAGGAAGACACCGAGAGGACAGTGCCCTAGGTCTGACGCCAGATATAGAGACATTAAGAGGGTAATGTAACATCAGGGGCAGAATCCACTGGGCCTTCTTGGCCATCCTGTTGCCCCGGGGAGTCTACCTTGGTGAATGCACAATGACTGCATTCTGGGCCCAGAGCCTCCTGCTCGCTTCGCAAAGCCTCCTGTGCATTAGAAATGCCAGGCACCTTGCAGTAGGTGAGCTGCTGCCAAACGGCCTTGGGCAGAATCCCCAAAGTCCCCACTAACTGATGACCACTCTCAGGTCCTGCCAGAAAGACGTGGGGAGATGGCTACCTGCTACTTTCAGGCTGGAAATCAATTCCTACGTCCCTGAAGCACCCCCAGCGAGCTCCGGTTGAGAAGGGGATTAGGCAGAGTCTTGGAGATGAGGCAGTAACCCCCCACTACTAGATTCCATCTCTGCCCCAGTTCCAGCAGAGGGACACCGGCTCAGGAACACGTGGCCACCTGGCATTTCTCGGTATTTAATTGTCTCACTGTCTTTTCCAAGTCCCTAATGAAATGACTCGTGCAACAATGTCTGTGCCTTATGAAAGTGTCTGTGCACTTTTTATCCTTTTTAAAAACTTTCAAAAGTGGGCAGGGGACTAGCATACATTGTATGTTCTAGAAATTGTGATAATCATTGAAATCCTTCTGCATTATGTTTCTGATGTTGGAGTGATGAAGTATCTGTCCCCCACTCCCCACTACCTGTGTACAGACCTTTTAAAAAATGTCTTCTTTTATTATTTTTCTGATTCAATACTGTGACCTCTCCAATAAGTCAAATCTTTGGGGATCTGTAATAGAGGTTTTGAAACTTGGGGCAACTGGGTTGGGAAGGGTTTGCACTGGTCCTGTGTGTTGTGCTTTTGTGTGTTGTGTGTTTTGAGTTTTTGTCTGTTTTTATCTGTTTTATATTAACATAATTTTCCTGTGTAAAAACAAATACAACTTTGGCTTGGTAAAAAAGAAAGTCTCTTCAGAGCTCATTTTTTAAAATCACCATTATATACGCCGTCGGGGATTGGAGAAAAGGGATAGAAATCATTGCCAGCCTCGAGGACACAATTTGCAGAATGCCTATACAGCCCTGACGATGTTCGACCCTTTTGCCAAGTAACTACTGCAAAAATATCGCAAGGAAATCATTCTAATCAAAGGATAAGCTCTATAAATAATGATGTTCATTGCAGCATTATTTATAATGGTAAAAAACTATAAGCAAGCCTAATGTACAACAACCAGTATGTTCTTGCCAGAGCTCTTGGTTGCAAGCGACAGAAACCCAACTCGCCCTGGCTTAAGGGGATTAAAAAGCTCAGGAAACAGAAGTCCAATAGCAGAACCCAAGAACCCATGTCAGGTACAGCTGGACTCCGAATTTGAAATGCTGTAACAGGACTTGGTCTCTCCCCGTCTCCTTCTGCCCTCTGTTCCAGCCCCATTCCCAGGCAGGTTCTCAAGACATCCAGCTGTAGGCCCATGTTACATCCTGCCTTTTGGCAGTCCCTGTGTGGACCAACCTGGATCACGTGCAGTATCCTGAACCAGTCACAGAAGCCAGGGAGATAGGGGCTCTGATTGGTCAGACCCAAGGACACGCTCTCAACTCCATCCAATAGCTTCCCCAGTAGAAGTGACCGTGGGGAATCACAGTCCTCGGGAGAAATTGGAGCAATGAAGGCGTGCTGGGCAGGGATAAACAACAGGCATCTCTCTCTAAGAAAGGCCGAGTAAGCGATGATGCAGATACAGACCTGGTTAGTAGCATGGGCAGTGACGCCAGACAGCCTGGGCCCCACCACAACATTGGGCGAGATACTAAATTTATTTGTGCCTCAGTTTCCTCATCTGCAAAGCCAGAAGACTAAGAGCTGACTTTAGGACAGGTGTGAGCATTACTGGGACCATGCGAGCAACATGCTAGGCACAGTGCCTGGCACTCAGCAGAGTTCATGACCCAGGAACATCTTTACGTTAAAATGTGGTGGGAAAATGAAGTTAGGAAACCCCGTACACTCTGATCTCACGGATATGAAAAGGAAAAGAAAAGAGAAACCAACAGCCAAAACCGGGACCATGCATTGGGATGACCAACAGAAAAGAAGCAAGACACCCACGGGGCCTGGGGCTGGGTGACAGCGTTATTGGTGACTTTTCTCCCTGTGTTTTCCAAATTTTCTATAAAGACTAGCTCTTACTGTTAATTCAAACTTGTTCCTCAGAAAAATTATCTTCCTGCTCTGCAAAAACCAAGAACGACTGGCCCTTGCTGGAATTCGTCAGGAATTCCCAGGCTGATTGTCTGAGTTTGAGATCCAAATTTAGTCACGGTGGAGATAAGGGCCTGCGAGTCTCTAGTAGAGGCCTGGCTAGGCTGACCAATTTGGGCTTCCTCCAGGCCCAGCTTCAGGGCCCAGAGTTCTGGGGTGGAGCTTTGCAGTGGCATCAGGAATGGGGGGGAAGGAAGGAGGTGAAGCAGCTGCACAGGCCTGTCTCTCCTGGCTCGCAGGGACAGCCCGGCTTGGTGACATCATTTTAGGAGCAGTGGGGTAAGAGAGATGAACTAATATTCACCATGCAGAAGAAACCCCAATTTTCACACATTCTCCGAATGACTCGTCACAATAATGTTTGTCTCCTCATTTTCCAGGTGAGAGAATCAGGGTCCCTCCAAGGTAGAAGCGGGATTGGCTCCCAGGTGTGCCTGCTCCAGAGTTAAGGCAAAATCTTGTCCCCTTTCCTCTAGGTGTCAGGGGCAGTCTTCCCGGAACCCAGCCTCCTTTCTGCCTGCCTAGATGTCCTTCCTGGGGTATCACCCACTTCTGCTGGGCTACGGGGCATTTTCATAGGTGCCATCTAATAATTAAGACATTTTTAAAAATAAAGGTTTGGGGGAGGGGCATATTAATCTAGGCTTTTTTGGTTAAAAAGGCCAAAACCCAACTCAAGAAAAACCTAATGTAAGAAATAACTCACACAACTCAGCAGGTCAATTCTGGCTTCAGGAATGGCTGGACCCAACTGTTCACGTGTCATTGGGCATCTATCTGTCTCTCAGTTCTGCTTTCCTCTGGGTGGACGTCACTCTCAGGCCCGCTCTCCCTTTGTGATAACCAGGATGGCCTCTAGGGGCTCCTAACTTACATCATGCCAGCTAAGTCACCCTTTTAAAAAATTTCAGGAAAAGTCCCAGGGCTGTCTTTCCATTGAGCCCTTGGGTCAAAAGCCAAGTCCCTGACCTAATCTCGGTGACATGCTCCTACCTGATACAAAACCAGGTATGACATGGCTCTTGCCCTCAAGAACCAACCAATCTGGGGTTGGAAGGCAGACCCATAATCAGACATGTTCAGACCAGTGCAGTTCCAAGGCTGCTGGGACAGACGAAATTCAAGGCATAGAGGCTCTGGATCATTTAGTGATGTAATTTAGGCATTCTTCTTTCTCCTGGGTGTTCAGGCTCTTACTAATGCCTGGGCCATGCTCCTTGGCACACTGTGTTTCTCCTCAATGTTTCACTCCCCAGGGTCTGTGCCCTGACCCTCACCAGCCCTGAGCCTACCACCCGTGACCGTCACCAGCCCTGACACCCACCACCCCTGACCCCGCTACCCCTGCCAGCCGAAGTGCAGCCTTAGGGGAGCTTTGCCATTGTCTATGTATGGACACCTCTTGTCCTCATTTCCTTGTGTTCCTGCAAGACAAACACTTCTCCACAAAAATAGTGGTAACCACAGATCATTTAATGAGCACTTACTATGTGCTAAGGGCAACCATTACATCATTGAATCCTCACAACAGCTCTTTGAGGTAGGTTTCATCATTACTTTCATTTTATAGGACAGAAAACCAGGACCAGAGACATTAAGTAACTTTATCCCACTCTCGAAGACAAAAGGAGTTCTTCTCTTTCTTTTTGTAATTATTTTTCCAGGATTTAAACCCAGTGGTTTTTATGGGCCTGGAACATGGACACGTGACTTCATCCTCAAACAGTCCATCCTCCCATTTTAAAGATAAGGAGAGAGAGGCTCAGAAGGGCAGTGACCTGCCCTGAATCACACAGCTTGTGAGCTGCGGAACTAGGTCTGACTCTTTCCTCAGCATCACAGCTTGTCTGCGGGTAAATGATCAGAAAGAGGAGGACCAGGAGGAGGAGAAGGGAGAGAGGAAGGTGGGGAGGGGAGGGAACTAGGCTCAGCAGCTAGAGGGGCGAGGAGACAAAAGCCTTCAAGCTGGGTCCTTGACTTACACCAGGCCTATTAATCCAATTCCAGGGAGGGAAGCCTTCGCCTCTCCCTTCAGGCTCAACTCTATTGGTTCTTGGAAGCTGGTTTTGGCTCCCATGCAGGGATATGGAAAACATGAATATTCCAGGCATCCATTGTGGGAACAGAGCCCCGACCTTGGCTGTTAAATGCACCCAGGGGAAGCTTCCAGAAGCCTGGGGGCAGCTGCATCAACACAGAATGCCTCGGGCAGTCTGGTCCCCTTTCTTCAGCTCCTCCTCCTCTGGCTATGGCCTGCCGGATCTAAAGCTTTCTCTCTGAATCGAGAACCTCTGACCGCCTCTCCTGCCTCTCCCAGCTGCCTGGGGAAGGCTTCAGCCATCAGAAGAGTCCAGAAAGTCTGCTTAGGAGTCGGATGCATAGGCCTCAGGTCATGTCCACATCCTGTCCCCAACAAGAGGGAGCACTCGCTCCCCGCAAAGGGCCCAAAGTTTGGTGGACCTGCCCCTGGAGTTGTGCAACGAAGAGGCCTTCCTCTCTGCGCCTCGCTTTCCTGCCTCTAGGTGGCGCCTGTAGGACCACTTTCTCAGGTCCTTAGGAGGCTGCGTCCTGGCAGCTCCGCTCTGCTCTGTGCAGGCGTTTCCAGTGTGATGGAGCCTAGCCTCTGGTGTGGGGTCTTGGGCAAGTTACTGACTCTCTCTGAGCCTTGGTTTCTGGATCTCTGAAGTGAGAGGGGTGGCAGCCCTCTTGTGGGTTGTGTCAGAAGAAACTGTGTCAGGGAGTTCACATCACTAGGATGCTCAGTAATGATGGTTACTGATTTTACATTATTATAGGATCTGCTGCACCCACCCAGCCCCCCATCCTCGCTGGGCCAGGGGTTGCCCCTCTGTCCCACCACAGCTCCCTGGGCCTCCCTTCAGGCTCTGTATGTCTCAATGAGCCAGCTCTGTGACACTGTTAGCAGTGAGGATTCTAATATCATAATTTGTGACCATCTGGACCATTCTGCAATTTGGTCTCTGACCCTGCTCTAGTGACTAGGCCATTTTGCGATTGAAATCCTCTGTCTACCAGATGAACCACATTCTTCGCACTGTCCATTTCACTACAAAACTTATCTTACTAGTTTATTTTGCAGACTCCAAGAGAAACTGAGGCATTTGCCCCTGCCTTGTAACACCCCCACCCCCCCGCTGACCATGTCTAATGATTCCAATTGTTGGCCATACCCTGTGACTCTATCTGCTGACCATGAGTCAATCGAAACTATCCATTGTTTTTATCTCACTGAGTCAGCAGACTCCTGAAAACCCAGTTGCTTTCACCAATCAGAAAATGAATGATATAAGTTTATGGTCTTGTTTCTCTAACAACCCATCCTTTTGATCAGCTTGCAGTTCTCACCTTTAAAACCCTTGCTGTATCTGTCCCACTTTAGGTCGTATCTTCAGTTTATACCAAAGGCTACGTTTTCTGATGTGCAAATCATATCAGAATGAAACTCTCTTTTACCCCTCAGAAGAGTCCTGTGGAACTTTCGTTTACAGCAGCATCTACAGGTGACCAGCACTAAGGCTCACAAATAGCTTTAGTATGTGCATCCCCTCCCCCAGTGTGGAATCTCTGGCATTAGACGCCTTCTTCCCGCAAGGAGTGAAAGCTGCAAAGAGTGAACGCTCGCTCGGGGCCATCCGAT